TTGTTTTAACTGTTTCAAATAGTCATTCCAGATGCAGAAAACTTTCCATTCGTAGTATATTTGAATCATTAGTTATCTTGGGAATTCAATTCGTTCATTCGGAACCCTTGATTGTTGAGTCCATGACTGCGGAAGTTGAAATCATTTTCTCCGGATACATTCATCCATAATTCAAGAACTGTATAAGAAATTCGCTTGCTCCATCCAGTATTTCAAACTGATTTCTGTTTGTAGGCATAAATGCGGGTGTTGTTCGACATGTAGCAGCTGCGCTCGAGGGGTGTGGTACTTTGCGATCTAAAATTGTTAGTATTGGCATAACTCCTTGGGGACTTATCAAGAAACGAGAGGATCTCGTCGGACAGGTACGTACTCAGATTTATCTTTCGCGAGACATCTTCAGATAATAGGTTGTTCTTAGGGAACGATCTTCAGTAGAAGTTATGTGAAAGTTTCAAATTATCTCACAATCAGTAAAAGTTTGCTGAATGAGGAAAATCGATTGCGATGGTATAGACAAAGAGCAAAACGGATAGTTTAAAGCGCTAAGGAAAACCACGACGAAAACGGTGTCGAGAAAGATCATTAGCATTTAAGCATTAAGAACAATCGCTCGGAAAGACATCACAAGTCAATGCCTGCGATGCACGATCAATTGAAAAAATCGCCGGTTAATTCGTTACCACTGCCGCGTCCAGTTTTCCTCAATAAGTTTATGCATGCGTTCTCCCATATTGAGCTTGAATATGCTAACAATATCTCTCATAGCTCTGAATGCGATATTCTACCGTTTCAAGACTGATTTCAAATGACGCAAAAGAGAATGCATGGTTGAGATGTCAATTTGAGGAATTAATCATGCTGAATGTTTCAGGACACTGTTGTACCGTACCATCCACATTCGTTTTCACCGAAAGGTCGTTTTGCAGTACTGAACAATCGGCATTCCTATTTCTTATTGGTTGACAATGGTACTGTTGGAAGGTATGTCCTATATGATTTTGCAATTTTTTCTCTCAAAAAACTTGTGTCCCATTCAAATTACATATCCAAACTTTTCATTATTTCAAGACTGATGTTTCAGAGGCAAGCAAAACTTGTTGATAAGTTTGTTCATTCAAATAGTGTAACCTGTTCGCGTTCGTATGGGTCATTCCCCAAAGAATTGTTTGAGAAATTTCTTTTGCATTGTTGATTTTCCGCAAGATTTCCATGACAAATGAACATCCTCTTGCAGGTATGGTGCTGACATAATCCTTCGAAAACGCCTCGAAATGTA